CGAAGACCTGCTACTCGGTGACGGAAACCGGCAGCCTAAGCCCCAAGGCTTGGGTAGGTGAACCGTATAAGGAAGGCCCCGCTAGGTTAGGCGTGGTATTGAACCAGACTACAGTAGAGCTGCTTACCACCAAAGTTTGTTTGCGATGGTGGGGTTCCAACCCCGCACCATAGGATGCAAAGAACGCTGGTGATGGTTACTAAACCACTGCACCACCACCATTTTCCATTGAGAGAGCACACATTGGTGCTTGACATTTTCCGATAGAGATGAGAAAAAGATTATTCATTTCACTTGATTGCCGATTAGACTGTTGATAAAAATGAGAACCCCATTGCACCGGAAAGTCACGAAAAAATCAAGCCGCTTATAGCTGTGCTCACAAAACCAAACGCTATTCATTGATGATAAATCCCGCAGTCGGAGGAAATCAGTAAAATATTCGGGTGTTATTCTTAACCATTCTCTTTCTTGGTCTGAGAACATTAATAATGTGTTTGCGAAAATCAGAAGGCTTCCTGTTTTTGCCCTTCGCCTAAAGAGAATATATATTCCGTCCCATCTAATAAACGGGGTTTGTTCATGCTTGCATCTTACCTCAATGTCTCTATGCTTCCTGGCTTAATGCAAAATGATATGTGTGATATCTTGGTCACTTAGACATTTATCCATGTGTTGTGATTTGCCAAAATCTCATTTAATCCATTACGTAGTGTCTCAACACACCAAAGCTTGTGATAAACTGGCTCATAAAATACTGTCTGACTCCTGTCACCCACTTAACTTCGCATTATCTAAACATATTTCAATCTCTTCTACTCGGTCCAAGTACAAACACCTTCAAACATGCACAACAGCGTATTACTCTTCCATTGTTCCTTATTTTGCCTGATTCTTGTACCACCCGGACCGCATTTGGCATGCTTTGTTCATAGCTTTGAGTTAACTTCAAAAACGTAATGCACTTATCCCAATCTTCAATTCAATGGATTGTTTGGCAACTGATATCGTACCAGATGGTGTGATAAAGCAACTTCTTGACTTGACTTGAAGTGCAATCAGCTAGACTGAATTTCCCGAATGGTAATCGGTCAGCCTTCATTCACATTGACAAGCATCAATCACTCATGTCGGTTGCCTTCCATTCACAAATGTGTTGAAGCTTGCATTTCGTGACCATATGTGGTGATCCTAGCCTACCAGATGACGCATACCACGGAGCGACCCTTTATAGTTTTCGGACCAATACGATGAATCAAGCTCTTCGGGTGACGGTAGCAAAGCGCGTACGTGTCAGAGCTTCTGACTACATACCATAGGTAGATTGTACCAGCCAATCAGAGACCGAAGCAGAAAGACACAAGCAATACTGGAACCCGATTGGTAGAAGGATGACCAACGAGCATGTTTTGTACATAGTATTTGATCTCCCTTATTTCTTCCAGTAAGCGAACTAACACTCTTGTTGGCTTTTCCTGGCGTATCAGTTACGTGGGATATTACGTTCTAGTGCCAGTGTGGTCCAGTGCTTACGTGATCCAGTCCGTGATTGCTAATCCTTGATTC